GCACAGTCTCCAAAACAATAAAACATAATTAACATACTACAATGCTGAAAAGAAGAATGCACAGGCTATAAAAGATGTAACAATGTAGTTCACTCATTTGAAAGGTCATATAAATAAAAGAAATAAAGTCTAGTGATTGTTTGAAAAAAAAAGCATAGCAATTGACTAAAGATATTTTTTAACATATGAATATGACATTTTCATATTCAGCATAATATAAAATCATTTTTAAGTTGCAACCTTTTGTTAGCTTGAAATGTTTATTACTGCTGACCTTCAAATTTGCAAGTAGTTATAGTGTTTTCTTATAATTAAACAAAATTAGCACACCTAACTATGTGAAGGATTTAAACACGATCTTACATAGAGAGAGGTCCTTGACAATAAGCCAACGTGATCTTACAATGCAAGATGTGCTTTATAGTCCTCAATTAGGGATGCACAGACACCTTTCTATTCCCAGTTTACATATCATTATATTTGTTAAAATTAGGGATGCACCAATACCATTTTTTCTGTATCGGTACCGATATTTTTTTCGGTACTGGACGATACTGGAAGTATCATTAAGGAAGCCGGGCGGCATGTAATGACTCACCGCTCAGGTGATGAGGAAGCATGGAGCCGGCTTTCTGGCCAATCAGGAACGTGCGGGGTGGGGGTAATGATTTTCTGCCCAGCTTCCTGATTGGCCAGCTTCGCAACCAATCAGAAAGCTGGATGGCAAGTCATTACACGGCCCCCAGCTTCCTGATTGGCTGGGAAGCCGGCTCCATGCTCCCTGTTGACAAGGGAGCATGGAGCCAGCTTACCGGCCAATCAGGAAGCCAGGCAGTATGTAATGACTTTCCACCCGGCTTCCTGATACAGAAAGTTACGATATCGGGATAGGCATCGGGAGCATTTGGGTGAGTATGAGTACTCGCCCAAATACTCAGTATCAGCACCAATACTGATACTACAATCAGTATAAGTGCATCCCTTGTTAAAATAGATGATAAGTTATTGGACAAGGACAATGACAATTGCTATGCCTCCAGAACCCTCAATGTTTGCTTTAAAAATGGTTTTGAGTATTAAACAACCAGCAACATTCCGTTCTTTTTTTCTCTCCTCCCTTCAGCTCATCCTAACATTAAAGGAGAACTATGAGGTGAGTGTTTTTCACTCACCTCATAGTTCTAGCCAACCTGTGACAATGAGACTGTCACAGGTCGGCTCAGTAGATCGAGAAGTGAGTGAACACATACCGGCGTTCGCTCACCTCTCGATCCTGTCACAGCTCTCTGCCGTGACAGGGGAGGGGCTCGATTCCCCCCTCCCCGCTCGTATCCGCCAGCGCTGACTGGCGGATCGGACGAGGGAGGGGGGGATACAGCTGGCTCTGCCTCTAGATAGGCAGATCCAGCTGTCACTCACGAAGCTGGGAAGCAGTAGCTTGCGGTATACTGTGGCGTCGGGATCCGTTTCAGCTGCTGCGTCTCAGTATACCGCGAGCTGTAGCTTGCGGTATACTGAGCTTAGGGTGATGGGAGGATGCTAGTTTGTGTCCTCCTGTTACCCTAAGGAGAACTATGGAAAAACGCCTTAACCCCATAGTTCTCCTTTAACCTTTCATAAGTAAGACCACACAATTATAAAAATGTAATGCATAAACTCAATAATGATTGGCTGCCTGGAAGTGTTGCATTTTAAACACCCCATCAGCATTTCCCCCCTTCAGCAATGGCCTGCCCAGAATGCTGCAGTCCACCAGTCATTCCAGCCATATCACATGCTGATAATATGATGAATGAAAATATAAACAGAAGTTACTATTTCCTCTCCTTCTGCCTCTCAAGGAACTACAGAGGCTCTGAAGGTGGAAACCCAGTGAAAAGCTTGAGTTTTACAACAGAAACTTGCATAGAAGTGAATCTAACATGAGGAGAAAGAACAGTTTTATGTAACTGTAAGCCAGTACTGAAAAACAGGTGCAAACATTTCCAGAGACAGCTCTTAAAAGCTGGGGCTGACAACTATGTTTTAAAGGAGAACTATGGGGTTAAGGCTTTTCCCCATAGTTCGCCTTAGGGTAACGGGAGGACACAAACTAGCGTCCTCCCGTCACCCTATGCTCAGTATACAGAGACGCCGCAGCTGAAGCGGATCCCGACAATTGTGCCGGGATCCGCCCAGCTGCGTGACTGACAGCTGGCTCTGCCTATCTAGAGGCACATCCAGCTGTACCCGCCCCCTCCCCCATCCGTTCCGCCAGTCAGCGGCAGAGAGCCGTGACAGGATCGAGAGGTGAGCGAACGCCGGTATGTGTTCGCTCACCTCCCGATCTACTGAGCCGACCTGTGACAGTCTCATTGTCACAGGTCGGCTAGAACTATGAGGTGAGTGAAAAGCACTCACCTCATAGTTCTCCTTTAAGATAAGGTTGCAAAACACATTTGCTAGCATGAACTGACTGCAAATGCTCACAGACATTCCTATATAATTAAGATATTTTACTTGTGTGGTAAGTACCTGTCAAAGAGTAATAGTTATCATGCTACCTGTCTCTAACCATACAGCTCTCACATAGAATAATTTTTGAAGGTAAAGTTAAGGTACTGTTAGGTAAATAAGGAAGCATATGATGACAGGACCCCTATCACATAGGATAAGCCCTACTCTCTGACTGATTAAACAGGTTATTCAGGCAGTTAAGTTGTTACTAGAAATTGCATGCACACTGCCTGGGATCAGTGCAATGCCATGTGACATGAGCAGCAGTACACAATTTAGGCCAGCAGTGGCCAAACTATGGCCCTTGTGCTGGTTATAACCTGCTAGTTGCCTTTAACCAATACCTGGTATGAAAAGGCCCTTCAAGGCTCTTACATTGCTTTCCAGGGGAGGTGCAGTGCAGAGCATTTCAGCACCAAGCACTATTGCAGAGTGATTTCCTTCCCGATGATGCCTGTATAGTCTTAAACGTGACATCACAACTAAGAGCATCGCTGGATATGGAGCCTCCAAGGAGCTTAATTATCCCCTAAACAGCAATGTGGGCTGCAGGGAGGAAGTCTTCTTTTGCTCCCATCGGCACTAATTACACCCACTGACACCAATGCCTGAGGCTATTACAAACACTGTTTCCAAGGCAGGTTTTACTCAAATTGACCACTGATGCAGGAGTATTTTCTACTTCCAGTGACCACTGACACAGGCATTTTAAAACTTGTACTGAACACCGAGGATCTATTGACCACTCATGTAGCTGCATGTTTTACTACCAATGACCACTAATTCTGGGGTATTTTCTTACTCCTACTGATCACAGTACAGCCTGCCAGTGTGGCAGACAGTGAACTGGCTTTTTGTGTAAAATGTTTGCAGATCTAGATTCCCTGTAGGAAGGAATATGGGCATAGTGGAGCAAGTTTAATAGGTGTCATGCTGTCAACAAGTGTCATGTAGGGTACCAAATTATTCCACCCTATGTATAAAAAGAGCAATTAACTACAGCTAATTGTTAGAACAGCCAACAGTCAGAACTGCTGTACAGCGAGAGATGTCATTGTGTTGGAGCAGTGTCTGTCTGCCACATTGTTGTTGCCAGGAGCATACGGTTATTATTGCTAAGGTTTGTGGCCCAAAGACACTAGAACAGTGAGTCTGTCAAAGACAAAATATGTACCAATTAGTTAAGAATCTGTGCACTCACCTGTGAATGACCAAGTTGTATTCCTAGTGGCACTATTCTTGCTGTAAAGTTTATTTTGCTGTCATTCCTATATATGCTGTGTTGGCCTACCTGAGAGAGTTAAAGATTATATATCTATGGCTGAAGGTAAGACAGGGCAATAACTGCAAGTTTTATCATCAGAAAGAAGGATAATATCACTCAGGGAAAGAAAACTAAAATATTTTTTGTTGTTACAAACCAAAGTGTAGGAGAATGACAAACCAATTCATAAGTGTACACAGCAGTGAGAAAACCACCAGGAACATGAAACTGACCACAGTAACCAACAGGCATTGCATTGGGAGAAAATGTCAGAACAAAGTTGCAGCCATTCACATCATACCCAGGAAAATAAACAGAGAAATAATTCAAAAGCTGCACTTGACAAGTTAGGGAAGAATACATGTCAAGAGGTGCCAGCTATTGTGTGCTTGGCTGAATGAGCCTACACACTAGGGCCTGTGCACCTTAATGAATGGGATACACAGCAGGGCACAGCAAACAGAACAAGCCTCAGGAATCCTGGTGAGTTCTCTATTTACGTATAACGTTCTCTGGAGATATTTGGGCACAGACCTAAACAATACCAGTGCTATTTGCTCAGTAAGAATATTTAACGGAGACCTGATGCTAAAGCTATAATACATATACACATTCAGTAAAAACAGACTAAAGTGTTATGTCTGAAAATGTACTTTATCTTGATTAAAAAAAACTAGCAAAAAAAAGAAAGAAAATAGCAGTTTTAAAAATGATTAGAAGCAAACTTCACTGGAAATAAAACAGCCATCGTAGCCCCATGCATATGGTGTGAATGGACCCCAAATGCCATTTTGTGATATTTATTTTGTTTACAGTAATGCCTATTTATTTATTTTTGTCTTTGTGCCAAAACATTCAGTCTTGAAGTATGACTACTGCATTGCAGACAAGACATTTCAGGAAGTCAGGACAAATATTGCATGTAAACGTTTTTAATAGTGCACAGCCTTGCACACCAGACACTAACATAACCGTGCCTGTCCACTGTCCAATGACATGATATTATCTGCCATAGGTAGCATACTGCACACTTCATACAAGCAAAGCAGTGTCAGTTAAAACACTCCTTGAGCTGGCACAGGCCACACTCTGGCACAGAATTTTATTAAAGATGATCTCAAGTTATAAATTATTATGCATATTTACATTGGTCCAGCTTTGACCAACTTGGACCAATGTAAGTATCCATATACCATACCTAATGGGGGATCCAATATAGCAGGGATAGGCAACCTCCCCACTCCAGCTGTGGTGAAACTACGAAACTCATAATGCCTCTGAGAGTCATGCCTGTAGCTGTGAGAGCCTTGCAATGCCTCATGGGATTTGTAGGCTCACCACAGCTGGAGTGCCAAAGTTGCCTACTCCTGCTGTAAAGCACTGTAGTAGCCAGAGCAGTGACATCACCAGCTGCCCCTCGTCCAATCAGGGTACGATTTGTTTCAATTTGAAAAAATCCTAGGTGTTTTCTGAATGGCCGTTGTGCCATGTACGCAACCCCCATGTTTACAGAGCAGAGGGGAAGATGTTCAACTCAGTGCCACACAGGACCTGGAAAATCACTGTAAAACACTGTAGTTGCTCTGACTACTACAGTGCTTTAAAGGATCACCATGGGAAGACCAGGTATATCATATGAATACTTACATTGTGCTAAGCTTGACCAATGTAAGTATGCATAATACTTTATACCTGGAGTTTAGCTTTCACTTTTATGCAGTACAGTGGCTCGGTGATTAGCACTTCAAATCCAGGTTCAAATCCAGGTCAGGATCCCTGTACACGCTAAAGACATGGTGGCAGGTTGATTGGCTGCTGTCTACACTAATCCTAATATGTGTGCATGAGATAGGGACCTTAGATTGTATGCTCCTTGAGAGCAGGGACTGGGGTGAATGAATTGAATGTAAATTCATGGCATTACATAAATACCTGTAATGATAATACATTCTAAAGCAAAAGCTCTTTAAAGACCTAAATACATAGCATAAGTAGAATACATGGTTACATGTGGTTACAGTTATGACTGAGCTCAGAAGAGTACTACATAAACCAGGGGTCTGTGGGCCAATTCAGGCATGTGAACGGTACCATGCGGCACGCATCTGGCTGACAAGTCAGGCACGCAGTCATAGACTGCGTACCTGACTTAGGGGAGCAGCTGTTCCTGGTGCTGCTTGCAGAGTGTGCACTTTGACAGATTTCATTGCGCAACGGCCAAATGGATGTATTAGTAAGGTCTGCACCAGCAAAAGGTGCAGATCATACTAATCAACCATTGGACTGCAAGGGAATGTGTCCCCAAACCAGGTTTCCTATTTATTGTGGGCGGTTGGGAGCTTACACATGCAGCGAGACCTGAGAGGTGGCAGAGTAGTGCAGAGAGCATCAGGTCCCTAAAAGAGATGAGCGAGTCCCTGGAGCCCCAGCAGTGATAGTCCCTGGAACGCTGGATATCCACTGTTCCTGGAGCCGCAGTAGTCCCAGCAGGACAGGGACTGGAGGGGGGCAGCACCCACCCACATGAGGGAGTCTCTATGATGAAGTAAAAGAAGGAACTTTTGCCCCCTTTTACACTACCAATGGGTAGCTTGGTAACAATACCAGATTAGGGCCTTGTATTTTAAACTAGGTATGTGTTTAATATTTTGGAGTTTTGTTGTCCAGTCTTTAAAGACACCCTATTCTGATTACTGTACAAGATTTTGTGAGTTAGGGTATCATTTGTGTCTCCTTCTTACAACACTTTGAATAGGACATGACATATTAAATATTAAAGTGGACTAGGTTTGCACCAATACTAATACTAGTATTGGTATCGGTACCGATACCAAGAATTTGGGCAAATACTTTCCCAAATGCTCCAATACCTTCCCCGATACCTGATTTCATCCGTGCGTCAGTGGTATAGGGGAACATGGAGCCAGCTTCGCGTGCGATCAGGAAGCTTGGCTGCAAGTAATGACCCGCCTCCTGGCTTTCTGATTGGCTGGGAAGCCGGCTAAATGCTGATTGGTCGGAAAGCCGGCTTTCCAGCCATCAGCATCGAGCCGGATTCCCAGCCAAACAGGAAGCTGGAAGGCGGGTCATTACTGAAGCCGGTTTCCTGGCCAAGCACAATCAAGCCGGCCAGACAACATGGAACCAGCTTTGCGGGCAATCATTAGCTGTCATGTACATACCAACATACATGCCATGCATATAAACAATTTTTTTTTAAAACATAAACAAGCATCAATAAAATAATATACTCTCTCTCTCTCTCTCTCTCTCTCTCTCTCTCTCTATGTGTGTGTGTGATGTAGACCAAGAGAAAGAAACAATATTTTAAAAATAATATGATAAAAGATAAGTAGGGTTGGAATAATATAATGAAAAACCAAAAAAAGTACAGAAAAATAACCACTTAAATGGCAAACCACAAAAAGGATTATCATATCTAAAAACAATATTGGGTGTAAATATTACATATAGCAGAAACTATAGCAGAAATGCTGCTAGTTTACAAAGAGCAATGTAGCAGACATATCTGGTGCAAAACAGCAAAACAGTGACCAAATAGGCTATTTGAAAGAAGTCTAGCAATTTTTGCTAATGTTATAGAAATGTAACACATCATTTTGGGCTCAAATAAACACAACAATTTGTAACTCAGTCAAACCTAATATTATGGATGATTATACAAGTAAGTAAAGAGGATAAAAGGGTCTTTGAGTCCTTGTAAGCCTTCAATATCTTTGAAGTGACACTCAGGAGTTAAATCTTAAAAAATGCATTCAAGTACCTTAACTATTAACCAAATGTATCTTATTTGTGCATATTTCGGCTGTAGATTCTCAAATCATCCCTGAATTGATGCTGGCTCCGTCCTTCCTTCTGGAGGGTGGCTACCAGGGGCTGACTGGCAACTTTTAGCCCAGGGGGCAAGTACAACCTAGAATGCAATATAGTACATTATATAACGCCAGCTATAGAGGAATACAGCCAATCCCAGCAATAGTACATTATACTATAATGTACTATTGCTGGGATTTGTAGTCCTCTATAGCTGGTGGAGTTCGGCAGTGTGCTGTATAATGATTATACGGCGCAATGCAGAATACCACTGACCAGTTATAGAGGAACACCAAATCCCAGCAATAATACATTAAACATCCTGTATAATGTATTATTGCTGGGATTTGTTGTTCCTCTATAGCTGCTAATGTTCTACAGTGTGCTGCTTTAAAAAAAAAAAACAGGAAACATTAAAGAGGGATCTTGAGTGACTTACCTTGAATGTCATCGGTCAGCAGCGAGTCGGGAAGCTCACCGGGAGGAGAGGGCCAGATGCATATCCTCATTGAGCGGGTTTACCAGCGTGTGCGGTGGGCGTGGCGTGAGCAGCGGACAGGAAATTTAAATTTTAGCTGACGAATCGACGATGGAAAATGCTGACAACCTTTTCCATAGTCGATTTTAATCGACGTAATCGAATAATGGTTGCCTCTCTAAAATAAACCATTTTTTTTTTTTAATACAAGCCTGATCCCGGGATCCACCGACAAGCGCGGCCTCCCGTCTCCCACGCTGTCAGAATATGCATACAGCGTGTGCTGGTTACTACTTAAACCGGCGCGCGCTGTGTGCAGCTTCTGAGAAGATACGCTATTAGCATAGCGGGGAAGGCGGCTGCACATATCCAGCTAGATCAAGCAGAAGCGGCCCTCTAATCAGGCAGTGTAGAGGGCAGCCCGAGAAGCCGAGGACCCAGCGGCCGCCGATCACAGATGCCGCATCGGATGCCGGCGACAGTGGGGGTCACGGGGGCCGTACGCTACGGCATCGGAGAGGCCCGGGGGGCAATTGCCACCCTGCCCCCGGCCCAGTCCACCCCTGGTGGCTACTATTGTTCCCCATAGTCCCTGTGTGTGTTGTAAAGCAGCCACCGCTCCAAGCTCACTTCCATCATGGACTACAATCTCACATTTAGTTTCTAATTTGTATTGAGATTGTAGTCCATCATGGAAGTGAGCTTGGAGTGGTGGCTACTTTACAACACACACAGGGATCACGGGGGACAAAAGTAGCCACCCTCCAGAAGGAAGGACAGTTCGCACAGGAACACAAGGATTGGACAGTCGAGCATTGGAAAAAAAGTCATGTGGTCCGAAGAATCACGTTTCCAGTTGCATCATGCAGATGGCAGAGTGAGAATTTGGTGGAAACAGCATGAAAGCATGCACCCCACATGCATGAGTACAACCCTTCAAGCTGGTGGGGGCAGTGTTATGGTTTGGGGCATGTTTTCCTGGCATGATTTGGGCCCTTTAATTCGTGTGGAACAACGGCTGAATATGCACAACATACCAAAGTATCGTTGCTGATCAAGTTCATCCTATCATGTTGATGGCGTATCCCAATGGAGATGGCTTCTTCCAACAAGACAATGCGCCATGCCATGGTGCTCATATTGTGCAGGAGTGGTTTCAAGAACATGAGGGAGACTTTACCTTGCTTAGGTGGCCCCCACAATCACCAGATCTCAATCCAATTGAGCATTTGTGGGACGAACTTGAAAGAGCCATCAGGCAACTGGTTCCACAACCATCAAATCTCACAGAATTGGACAATGCATTCATCATGTTGTCAGATTCCTCGCATCACCTTTCAACATCTCGTGCCAAGAAGAATCACCGCAGTATTGAAGGCAAAAGGTGGCCCAATTAAGTACTGATGGAGTGGTCATAATAATCTGACCACTCAGTGTATATACCTGTGTGTTGGGATCTATTATATATAGGGATGCACCGATTCCAATTCGATTAGAGGGTGTCCGAGTTTAGGCTTGCCTAGGGCAGCACAAAACCATAACACATCACTGGTCTTAAATGAAGTAGCCAGTTTGTTACTAAACTATTTCTTGCACGGCTACATTTACTAATTCCTGCTGAACATGAATCAATATGTTTTTAAACTATGGCAAGAAATCAGAATACCCAAAGAAAAGGCAAAAACAAAGGCATATAACTCCAACTCCATGCAATCAGTTTACTGGTTCCCACTTTGCAGAGCAGTTCCCTATTGCTGCATAGGCCTGGTAACCACTGTGCTACTAGACTGCCTATGGGCCTTCTTTAAGCTAAACTCCTCTGTTTACTTTCACCTTTAGGGTTCATAAACACAGACACTGCATCTGATGGGTACCCATGAGAAGTGTTACAGATGCTGACTAAAGCCAAAACCCATGTCAGAGGTTCCCAATAAGATGGGGGCAT